CATTAATGCAATAAGAATTTACGCAAGCATTAAATCTCTCAAATAAACATAAACATCAAATCTTTCTTGTAAGTTTCACTAGTCAACATCACAAGTGGATCATAATTTCAAATTTCCTTCTTTTTATCAGCATATTAGCATATTTCACATGTTTAATGTGAAAAATGCAAAAATGCAGCTAGAATGGCCAAAGCAAGTATAAATAACACTCCAACTATTAAAAAAAAAATGTTGACATCTTTTTCAGGTTGTTCTGACATTTGCACGCGTGTCCTTATTGCGAATTGTTTGTACAGTTGCCTCATGGGCCTCTCAGCAGTTTCTTCAGACATTTGGTTTTCTAACAGCCAATTTAACAGCTTTAAATTTCAATTTGCCAACAATCGATATAACAATCAGTGATATCATTATCCAGCTATAGTTGTTTATGAGTGCGTTCTGAGTTACGCATGAAGCGCATGATCCATGTCCTTATTTTCTTCTTATTTCCCTGTTTGATTTTCCGATCCAAGGGTCACAATATCATGCGTTGAATTTGGATCAAAGTTCCTGTGATAACTTCTGCGAGGAGATAGAGATTTCACTTTTTTTCAATTATAAACATATTTTTGTTGTCACCGAGAGATTGGGTGCTTTACATTTGAAACACAATTGATACAAGTGTTGTTCTATCTTTGTTACTCTCTGAATGTCAACAAGGATAGAACGACACTTATATCAATTTATGTCGATTTGTCATCAAATGCACCAATGAAATACCATTAAAGACCGTCAATCCTAGGTAAATTTTTGGCGGTATAAAAAAGGCCCTCAAGGGCCCAGATGTAATTAAAGAACGCTGACATAATCGACAATTGATATAAATTTGCTATTATTAACGTAAATTATTATATATATTTGGCTCATACTTAAATTCTCATTATTAAATTCATGATTATTTATTATATAAATGTTCCATAAATAAATATGCATACTTAAGTAAAGCTATAATATCCCATATATTGCAGAAAAATTACAATTTTTTCTCCGCAGTTATCATCTCTGTTGATAATCAAACTTTGACATAAAACACTGAAATCAGAATTTTAAAGAAAAATCAAATATTATTGAGTTGTAAATGCATAAATACGTCTACTAATAAATCATAAAATAAACTAATAAATCATAAAATTAGTGCAATATTATCAGTTTTTAACTCTTAATCACTTTAATATTTTGAAGGATGCGAACTCCCATAAGGATATCAGTCTTTAATAGTATCTCGTCATTCTTGTCGATGTCAAATGGAAAACACCCACTATCAATCATATCAGCTTATGCAAGCGAAACAGCCAAAGCTCTAGCAAGTTTTTGTCCTCACAAAAAGGCTCCGAGAGCCTGGAGATAATTGAAGAACGCCATTATCGACATTCATTATTAGATCGATAATAGTGTTATTAGCAATTATTCTAGTATTATTAGCAATTATCGGTAATAGATTAAACATTTATTTTACCAACGATAGATAACGCGATTACCGCCATCTACTGAGAAAACGTAACTGCGACCTCGCGATCTATACGCGTCACGGACACACCGTCAGACGGACGGAACGGAGCGGAGCGAGAGAAAGAGAGACAGAGAGATAGTGACAGGTTCATGAGATGAGATATGAGACGGTAGCGAGGAGAAGGTGGCAGTTTCCCGAGTGAGAGAGAAGCAATCTGTTTTCCGCGCTCTCAGGACAGCGTCGCGTTTCTTTTTTTTTCTACGTTCTCCCCGGTGGGTGGGGAGTGACGACGCAACGCTACGCGACGTGACGCCTCGCGACGCCACGCGCCGCGGTGCCCGGTCGCCGAAGAAAGAGGAGAGACCGCGAGAAGAGTGGAGGCTGTTACCGTTTGCTGCTGGTAAACATGTTACGTTCGCGCAGCGACACGAACAGCGAGAGGAGATCGTACGTCGTGCGCCAACCGGGACCACGGACCGCCGTCATCGCTGCCAAATAAGTCCGCGCGCGCGGCACGAACATGGCCTCGTCTACGAGGAGGTCCTGGAAACTCCGTAAGATCATCCTTGTTCATGGGAATACGAATATCCTGGCGCGCGCGAGCGCGCCATGCGCTCTCTCACGCTCTCTCTTTCCCGCTACATCGCTCCTCTTCTTTCTTTTTTTCCCTCTATGAGAATCCTGCTTTTCCGCGAGGTCTCCGCGAGTAAACAGTTTCTGTTTACTTTCTCACTTCAGCTGCTACCTCGCAGTTTCTTCCAATTATGGTTACATCTGGCACAAACCGGGAATTTGTCCCGCGATGAGAATGAGAAGTCGTTTTCGCGTAAACGGTAGCAGAAACTGGATTATAATGGACGGAGATTTTCCGCCTGTTTTTACGGATGAATAGTTTATATTGGAGGAATGACAGTTCTATTCTTTTTAAATAAGAGATAAATTACAAGGATATTGAATAATTGATTAGAGGTTTATTTGATGCTTGTAAAATTACAGGCATGAAACTTCAATGTTCAACTTTGCTCCTCCAATAATAAATAACTTCCCATTCTTAACTAAACGCAAATCATCAATAAATTAATTTTAATTGTAGTTAAAAATATTTGAAACAGAATAAATATATATTTATGTATATATAAATATAGAGATTATTTATGTAAATTGTGAAAAATTTTTTAAATACATTATTAGCTTATTTTTACTTATCAGTGAAAATGAGCTGATTTTTTTTTAATCTAAATATGTAATCTCTATTTATATTTTGTTCCAACTCATCTTTTTCGATTATGTGATCAGAACTTATTGATTTGCGACCTTTAGCCTAAGAATGAGAAATTATTTATTAGAGGAACAGAGGTTGACATTGTGTGTGAATTTTCATACCCATAGTTTCATGAGCAAATGAATCTCTTAGAAGTCAATTTATCAATTCCATGAAATCAGAAGTGGAAAAAATTGATGAGAAGTTGTAAACTGTTTTGATAATAAAACTAAGAAATTTACAAGAAGTGATATTAATGATTTTGACTTCTGAGAGGTTCAAGTGATTTTATTTATCGAATAAATAGATTAATTTTTCTCCAACATGAAAAAAGAAAATTATATATAATCCTTGTATGGTCGTAAGTAAATAAATCTGAACAAAAGTTATTCACGCTATAAAATCTTTTATATTGTATTTCTCTTGCATCACATTAACATGAATAAATCAGTATGCGTGAAATGCATTCTTCTTTTTTTTTTTGGCACAGAGGAATTCGTCGCCCATACGCCGAACGTCAATTGCTTGGCGTTGGGCCACAAATCGGGTCGTGTTCTGGTCACAGGCGGTGACGACAAAAAGGTGAATTTATGGGCCGTCGGAAAGCAGAATTGTATTATGGTAATTGTTGCACAACAGTTTCATTATCTTTATTCAGTTCAAGATAAAATACAGATGATTTATACAACAAATGTTTATCTTTATTTCATTTTTTTCTATTTCAATAACATACTACATGAAAGAACAATGAACGCTAAATTGTATCTCAAACATTGTTATTGAATTTAAATTGATTAAAAATTATACAAAGAGAGAGCTAAAGTTACTTCATGAGAGAGCCATAAACACTAAATTATATCTTAAATGTTGTTATTGAATTTAAATTTATTAAAATTACATGAGATTTATGTTCACTTATTTTCAGAGCCTAAGTGGCCACACTACTTCTATAGAATGCGTACGCTTCGGTCAAACGGAAGATCTTGTATGTGCTGGCTCACAGACGGGTGCGTTGAAGATTTGGGACTTGGAGCATGCCAAGTTGGCGCGCACGCTGACGGGACATAAATCCGGGATACGTTGCATGGACTTCCATCCTTATGGGGAGCTGCTAGCGTCTGGGAGTTTGGATACGGCGATTAAATTGTGGGATATCCGTAGGAAAGGCTGTATTTTTACGTATAAAGGGCATAACAGGACTGTGAATAGTTTAAAATTCAGTCCTGATGGACAATGGATCGCTAGTGCTGGGGAGGAAGGAATGGTTAAGGTGAGTCATATATTATATCCCAGGAAAATGTATTTTTATCATGTCTTATCTTAAGTCTTCTTATCATCTCATATATAACATGATTTTCATTCTTTTCTATACTATTTTATGTGTAAGACAGAAGACATTGACCTTTATGTTACTTTTAAATTAGTTGTGGGACCTAAAGGCCGGTAGACAACTAAGGGAATTTTCAGAACACAGAGGTCCGGCCACAACCGTCGAGTTTCATCCGCATGAATTCCTATTAGCCAGCGGCAGCGCCGATAGAACTGTTCACTTCTGGGACTTAGAATCGTTTCAGCTTGTATCTTCCACGGAACAAAGTCATTCTTCGGCCATCCGGTGAGTTAGAAAAACTATAATCTTACAATGCAATTTTTTAATCATGCTAATTTCTTTTGTTATCGCGCTGTTTCAGGTGCCTATACTTTAGTCAAGGCGGAGAATGTCTCTTTGCTGGTAGCCATGACGTTTTAAAGGTTTACGGTTGGGAGCCGGGCAGGACCCTGGATACGATACCGACTAACTGGGGAAAAGTCCAGGATATAGCCATAGCTCAAAATCAATTGGTAAAACAAAATGCTTTTGAACTCTTGAATATGTATATTCGATGTCATTTTTATTAAAACAGGAAATTTTTTCAGATTGGCGCGAGTCTTCATACCGCAAATGTTATTCTGTATATATGCGATTTAAAAAAAATTGCACCACTAGGAGGAATATCTGCCGTGAGTTCACCATTCAGTCATGGAAATTCCTTGAGGAAGAGTTTTTCCAAAGAACGACCGATCGGATTGAAGAAGCATACGTACGTTTTTGCTTTATGAAGTTTAATTTTAATCACAAATTTTT